AAAGTGCTCATCTATTGAAGCAGCCTGCGGGCGAATTGCATAACTGAGTTTTTTGCATTACTATTTTGGGGGTCTCTGAGTTGAGGTTCGTGCTTGCAGCATCGCAGACCCCAGAAGCCCAACGAAGCAAACGCTCGCTTTGGCTCGCCAGGAACTAAGGGCCCAAAACCCACAAACTGCAACGCTCTTCGCCCAACGATTGAAGCAAACCCTTTGCTGCGCTTTCGGAAAAAGGTGGTCCTTGCCACAAAGATGGGAGCACCTGCAAAGAGCAATCAGAAATCAGCTCGGGCAGCAGCTGGTGCCACTTGGCAGGTTGGACAGCCGCACCTCTTGGCTTCTAGACAGTCGTTGGGGCAGCAGAGTGACAGTGCGTCTTCACAGACATCCGGGAGGGTCAGCAAAGGAAATTTCGCTGCCTCCCAGCGACCATCTGCTGTTTCTTCAATGCTACCATCCCGCCTCAGGCAGCGTTTCCGATTCTGTCTCCGAAATCAGCACCGGGCAAGCACTGCGAGGGCCATACGGCACGGTGTCGCCAGTGCGGGTGGCAGCTTCTTGCTGGGCCTCCGCGCTAGAGCCGCTAGAGAAGCATCAATGCCATGTTCTCTCGAGCAGACGGGTTTTCACATCTGTGCGAAAGAAATTGCTCAGACCAAGCACCCAGATACACCCAGTGAGTCCAGCATCTAGCCCACCTCCTGGTGCCGAGGCTTTCTTGCAACTTTGACCTTAGAGTGATGGCAAGTTCCTTATGCGATGTGCAGCGGGGGGCCAGGAAAGCAGCTCAGCATGGTGCTGGCTGGACTTGAGGGACCAGCTGCAGGCCTTGATCTTGATTCCTGCCATCTTGCCGAATGCTGCGGGCTCTTCGCACTGTATGAGCGACTTCCTTTCAGAGCCCGAAGTGCGTCTGCATTGGACCGATGGACCTGCCGGACGAAGCCTTGCGCTTTCCCCGCATTCCTCGCCAAAGCTGATAGGGACTATCCAGTCTTCCCTCGCAGACCTGGTCCCAGATTGCAGATGGAGGCCTCGGTATTCTCTGCCACGGAATGCTGCTCACCATAGGCCAGGCATACTCCCTACATGGGCGTACACGGCTCAGGTCGATGAGGCTGCGCGAGACTCTCGACTGTTTGGTCTAACTTTCTTGAGAGGTGGATCTTGGATCATCTGCTCCTGCGAGCCAATCACTCCGCACATGGTATCGAAAACCTACGACTAGATTGGCACCGGTCATCTCATCAGTTCGAACCCGCGTCTAGACTTGAACCCCCACCTTGACCCGAAACCTCGCAAGCAACAACAACTGAAACGAACGGAAACGAATGCGTCCACTTCAAGAGACCGACTCTTTAAAGGGTCTTTTTGTTTCACGATTGCACAACGCTGTCACCTCAATCCGCCGTTCTCTTGGAGATCCGGTGAAACGGGTGCGTGTGCTGCAGGCCAACTGATGCCCAAGCTGCTGACATATGTTGAGTTGTGCTGCATGACCTTCAGCCTTTGAAGAATTCTCAGAAACTGCAGAGGCTCAGAGCACAAGGCTACGAGGCTGTGAGCTGCCCCAGGTTTAAGGGCGTTCAAACATTGGGTGCATGCGACCCAGCGTCGTAAAGAGCACTGGGAGACTCACGTCATTCTGCTCGGAAGTCACGTCCTTGTGGGACCACGGTTTGCACCTCAAGAAGAGATGATCCGCGCATGCGATAAGTGAGAAGCAGACAGGGTCCCGTGGTTTCATCTTCGCTTCGCTGACGGCAGCTATGTGCTCGTGACGCTTAATGAGTCCTGCTTTCGCGATGTGCGGCCTCAGAAGTGAACATGGCGTGTCAGGTCGGGTCCTGTTTCAGACTAAACCTCTGGTGTAGGTGGATGTCTTCAAAGATTCGGATTCTCAACATAGCTTGCTCCTGCTGCCGCCTGTTCGGAGGCTTATTGGTCTGAGATCTTTTGGATGTTCTGAGGGTTGTGACTGTCCAGTGCTCTCTCATGCCCCGGGAAACATGGCAAGTGAGTTTTCCACGGGTCCGCAATTCGCAGAATCGTCGCAGAAGGGAGTTAAAGACAAAAGACATTCTACGCAGCCCACGGGCCAGGCGCCCAGAAACATCAGATCAAGACGGTAGTATACATGGGCGGCCCCTCGGGGCCAGAACCTCAGGACTGCCGGGAACCTCACTTGCATCTGTACACCGTGATTTGTGGTCTTGTTGAACTTGAAGCTCAAGCTTCGCCATGGCATTTAGGATGAAGGCTCTGAAGCTCTTCTTTGAGATTATGCCTTCCTCGTCAGCATTCGCCTGTATGGCCACGTGACATGCCATCTCTTGTCCCAGAACTTGGCTCAAATCGTCTAGCGTGATCTGGCCCCTTCCTCGGAAGTCGAAGAAGCTGAACAATTCCTCAACGCTCTTGTCCGATGTGATCTGTGTTGGTTTCAGTGTTGCCGCGACCCAGTCCGTGTACTGGATTTTCTCGTCCATGTCAGGGTCTAAGGCACTGAGAACATCATCCTCTTCTGGGCTTCGGATGCGCAGGCCTGCCGCTGCCAGAGCAGAGCGAAGGGTATCTCGAGTGATCCAACCAGAATTGGAAGAGTCGAGGGCTGTGAACACCGAAGTGAGTTCCTCGACATCTTTACCGTTCGCCTCGTGTGCAGCGACGGTCAGGAGGGCACGTTCGAAACGGGAGAACTTCGAATAGGACAGGATACGCTCTAGAAGACACTTCAGCTTATCGGCTTTGGCCGGCAAGTGGAAAGGCGAGTCGGAACTCTCGCTCTCCACATCACTGAGTCCCTCGGGAGACATGAGCCAGGCTTCGCTGAGAGCCTCCTGGGCATTTAAGCGATTCAAAGGCTCCTTCTGCAGGAGCAGCTTCACGAGGCGCTCGGCGTCCTCGGAGACCCCTGCCGCCTTTAAATACGACGCGCGCAGGGGGCCCCGGGTGATCCGCTGGTAGGCATCTTCAGGCCCCGAGGCGGAGTTGCAAAAGGGGTGCTCATTGGTCAGAACAAAGAAAATCATGACCCCGAGGGACCAAAGGTCACACTCGAAACCATAGCTGTACAAGGGATTGTGACTTTTTAACACCTCCGGCGCTAGAAAATAAAGGGTACCCACTACCTCGTTCATCCAAGAGTTTGCTGTGCTTCCGGCCCGCTTCATGTTAGCAAGGCCGAAGTCTATGACCTTTGCCATGCGACCTGTCCGCCTGCCCCGGCATTCCGTAAGCAAGCAGTTTTCGAACTTCAGGTCCCTATGCGCGATGCCTTCAGAGTGGCAGTACGCCACCGCTCGCGTGACATCACGGAACAGAAGTCGAATTTCATCCATGTCATCCACGAGTGGGTCGAGGTCACCCAAATTGCCGCCTGTACATATCTCAGTGACCACATAGATGGCCATGCGGTCCTCAAAATACTCGTAAAGCTTTGCAATGTTAGGGTGGTCCAATTGAAGAAGTGCACAAACTTCGTTCAAGATCCTCTGCAACTCCTCGATTTCTGAAGGTTTGCGGATGAGCTTGATGGCTCTTATCTCTCCAGTCAAGTTGTGTTCCATTCGGAAGACTTGCCCGAAGCCCCCTGCCCCCAGTGGGACTGCAGAGTGGTAACAATTGCTGAGGCGTCGAGCTGGATCTGGACACAGCAGCAAGGTATGAATGTCCTGTGTGCCCGCGCGTTCTCTTAGCACTCGTCTCTTAATCGCTTGCGACAGGAATTGAGAAGGCCGGCGACTACCACCCCGAGGGCTCCGCAAGAGTTGCAAGACCTTGTCTGGGCAGCAGCAAGCAGTCATGGCGCAGGTTAGGATGGCCCCTCAGCAAGTTCTTGAAGGTGTCGACAAGCT